TTACTGAATAAAGGCTGAAATAAAGCCCGAAAAAACAAACACACACACGCTCCTCACTCTCCACTTACACACTTACTACCACACACAGACACATGCACACACACACACACACACACACACACACACACACACACACACACACACACAGGAGCAAATTTTTAGGTCTATATATATTTCAGTTTTCAAGAGCTAGTCTAGAGATTTTTAGATGAGTGTAAAAACGTGAAAAAGAAAGGTTTCACGACCGAATGAAATCAAAATTAGAACAGCCCATAAACAACCACAAAAATTAACAAATAAGGGCGTGAGTCCACCTGTCCGAAGAAGATTGGCTGTTTTAACCCTAAATGTGTGCAATTTTAAAACAAAGTACATGATATTACATGTAAATTATGGAATCACACACATTAAGGGGCCTGCCAGAGTCAGTACACGTAGATCTAATCGGGTTTGGTGGAACGAACGCTCTAACATAACACATTTAAATCTGTATACATGTATATGTATTCAGAATCTAATGAAAGTAGGAACATAAAATTAAATGACGTTACACTATACAACATCCGCACCCCCCCCCCCCCCCCTCCCTTTTTCCCCAACAAAAAAACTGATAAAAAAACAACACAGAACAATAACAAGAAAGAAAAAAATACACACTAACAAAATAAAACACCACAAAGAGGGAAAAAATAAAAGTAACTGTAACTTATTCAACAAATCAACGTGGTGACAACAAGTGAGAAAGAGATGAAGTGAAGCTAAGTGAACTTTCTTTCAAAAGTAAAGAGGTTCGGTTTCTTTCATTTTTTATTTTTTTTAAATTTGACTTTTATTCCCCGATTCGGGGACCAAAAAAATGCCCAAAAATCGAGCCACGATTGATTGGTCGCGGCCGCGACAAACGCAGATGCTAGTTCTATGTGTCGTTATCAATAACCCTCCGTAGATCTAGATCTAGATCTAGACAGCACCCGAGTGAACACAACACATTCATTAGGTTTAAGAGCAGCACCCTTCATAGGCAACACGTCATATATGTAGCGAAAAACTGCTTGGAACTGTAACATTTCTTTATACAAATATTTACTGCGGACATTTTTTGGACCGATTGAACCATATTGTATACAAACAATCTTTGGTAGGCCTATACTATAATTATAGATCTATATAATATCCTAAATTTGCGGGAAAGGATGTGATTTCAGAGTGTTCGGAGAAATAGTGCCCAGCTTTATTTTCCCGAACGTTCGGAGAAATAGTGCCTAGCTTTATTTTCCCGAACGTTCGGAGAAATAGTGCCGGCCTTTTGAGAATCAGTACTTTTACAGTACTCCGATACTTTTTATAAAGTACTTTTAAAGTACATTTTGAAGCTTTGAAAGGGTAAGTGCTGGCATTTCTGATCATAATTTAGGGAACAAACACCCAGGCGGTGGTGACCCGTGTGTTTGTTTTACCATATATAGATCTATATATTATATAGATCTATATAGCAGATCGGTCCATTTCGTTTTATTGTCACCCTTGCACAAAAGAACCCCCCCAGCGAAAACAACAACAACAACAATATCAACAACAACAACAATGCGGCTACTTTCGGTTGGGACCTCAGAAAGGAATGGTTTGTTTTCTTCATCTTGATCAGTCCCAGTCCTGCCTAATAAGACGACCACCTGCCTTATAATCTTATTTATAACGGCCACTTTTCTCCTTGACAATGGGTGGCCGTCTTACACATGTTTGACTGTATATAACAGAAGTTCAAGTAGATCTAGATCTAGTAATGTAAGATGATGACAAACTAAAAAAAACTTTGCAAAGTCCGAGTTAGGAAAGGATACAGTGCAGCTCGACTGGTGGTGCAGATGTCCAAATACCGTCTTCAGACGATCAGCCATCATTGCATTCAACTTTCAACACCAGTAGCTAGATCTAGATATCTAGATTCTAGATCTAGAATCTAGTAACGCCGTTGTTGTTTGCTCTAGATGTCTGGTAAAAAACCTTCCAAATCGAAACTTCAAACTTGAAACAATGATTAATTATGAATCATCAATGTAACCGAGAAAACACAACAACAAACAAGTCGTAGGCTGGCCAAGTTCAACTCCTCATCGGCTAGTCTATGCTACATCGCTCAGGTGATCTTACACAACTAATCTACCACCGCAACCTGACAGATCGCACGTCTAGTCTATAGTTACAGTATCAAGGACAGCGGATGAAAATTGTGTCATCTAAAGATATCGGATATCGATATTCGTCATCACAGCTCAGATTTCCTTGCCTTGGCCTTGGCCACACTGACAATCTAGATCTAGATCTAGAAATATAGATCTAGTTTATTTTGACTTTGACTCTCTGCCTGTGCGGCTGCTGCCCGAGGTGATGGTGATAGGTGACAGCTGAACTAGTGAACTTTGAACCTTGAACTTTGAACGCGATAACCCCAGATTTTTTTAAGGGTTTCGCAGTGGGCTAGCCTTTTTCGGGTCTTGAACTTGAAATCAAAGAAGAGTGTTTTATTGGTTAGATTCTATTGTTTTTCGCTTTTTTTGTTTAAATTTTAAACTAGATCTAACATGGTTTGGAAAATAAATAATAATTCAGAGTTTCTTCTTCTACAGAAAGGTATTCGCTCCCACAACAAACATCTAGATCTAGCAATACGATTCTACGGAAAAGACTAAAATATTATAGATCTAGCCTATTTAGCCTATTATGGAATTGCTCCGCATTTCCTTGCAATCACCCGAGGGACCCCACTCCTTTTTTCATTTCTCTGGATTGGTATTTGTCAGAGAGAGAGAGAGAGAGAGAGAGAGAGAGAGAGAGAGAGAGAGGG